GGGAGCGAGATGGGCAAGGACTTCCCACAGGGTCTTGCCATGGTAGCATCCTCCCCTAAGTCTTCCAACAAGCCAGGATCACAGGTTTGCCTATGGGTTGGGTGCATATGGCATATTCAGGTCAACCTGGGATCCAAACCTGGGTACTTCCAGCATGACTCCAGTATTGCTCAGTGTAGTCCTACTGCCTGTGCTCGGTGGCTGGGCCACCTTTAGTTGTTCTTATTTGTTATCCTTAAAGGTAACTTATGCACTAAAAAAAAATAATATAAAGTGTTAAAGTAAGAAAAAGTAAGATGAGCCCAGCCATGGTGGTGCAAGTGGTAAGACCTGAGTTTGAATCCCAGACCAACCTGAACAGACCAGGTGTCATACAGTGCACCTAAAATCCTAGCTAACTGGGAGGCTGGGGCAGAGCACAGTATGGCAAGACCCTGTCAAAAATCCTCTCTCTCTTTCTCCCCTGCTGCCACTGTCTCAAAATAAACAAATAAAAGTGAGATCTTAATGTCTTAAATGGGCAAAATATAGAAATTCCATAGTTTTACTTTTGGAAATTATGTTAATTCCTGAAATTTTGTGCGTAGTTTGGGTTTGGGTTACTTATGGCCATATTATATTCAAGATTTTCTTTGGGTAATACTGAACATTTTGTGTCCTGTAGAACTTTTTATATATTATATCTCTATTATTATTTTTATAAATGGGATGGTCAGTATATTTTAAGGATTTTTTTCTTTTCTTTGTATATGTACATTTGGGTAGGAAAAGCCAAATATATGAAACAATTTTTCCTCTTGCAGAATTAAATGTGAGGGAATCTGATGTAAGAGTTTGCGATGAGTCATCATGTAAGTATGGAGGAGTCTGTAAAGAAGATGGAGATGGTTTGAAGTGTGCATGCCAATTTCAGGTGAGAAAACCAAACTTATTTTGATGAATTTTATATTTACATAATTTATAATTCTACATTCCTCAGATCAAAAAGTTTGAAATACCTTGAACCTCACAAGGAAGTTAGTTTCACGGCCTTCCAATTCCTTTTTGTTTCTATTATTTCTACTTTCCATACTTCTTGCCTGGAATTAAAAAGACAGACAGGCGGTAGTAGATATGAAAATGCTTCAAAAGTATTAGAATTATATTTAAATGTAAAGTATAGCTATGATTGAAAGGCAAGGGAGGTGTAGGTTCAGTAGTCTCTTACTTAAAATATTGACATCTTTTTCCTTTCTCTTTTAAGTCTGTCTCCTTTCTATTTTTTAAAAATAATTAAAAAAATATTTCTTATTATTTTTAAAACACTTATTTATTTATTTATTTAAATTTGACCAGAGAGGGACAGAATGAGAAAGAGAGGGAATGTGAGAAAGCAAGCTGCCTGGTCTGGGACTTGAACCACAGTTGGCCATATGGGAGTCCAGCACCCTTAACTGCCATGCCACCGACTG